CTGGGCACCCTTTTTTTGAACTATTATCATCTGGCAGACGGTACAGGATAACAATAAAAACAAGGGCAAATAGGCTGAGAAACAGCTTCTATCCCAGGGCAGCAGCTCTTTTGAACTCTACTGTATAGTGAGTGCAGTGTTGGTGCTGTGTCTGGGGTTTTCGGTTCAATGTGTGGCGGGTGAAGGATGTGTGTTTGTGTTTATTTTCATGGTCATGATGTGCACTGAAGATGGTGTTTGATACACTAAACTAAACAACAAACATACCAGTCTTCAAAGACTCTATGAGAGTGAAGAGTTCCTCATCAGGACTGCTTCCATGAAAATGCGTTCGCTGTTGCCTTTGAGGCGTGACTATTCTTTTCTGGGAAATGCTTTCTATGCTGCCTTTGGCATCTTCGGGACCTGGACTTAACATCTCCTTTCCCAGACTGGGCCTCGATTCTTTTCCTCCGTCCTGTGAGCTTTCTTGGCACTTTTCTTGGTAACTCTCCTCCTTTTCCATGGATTCAGTTTCTGCTTCAATGGTACTTTCGGTTCCTGGCATCAAAATCTGGGGGGGGCTGCTTTCAGCCACTTTTTCAACTTCCATGCCAGATATTTCCTCCTGTCTGGCTAACCGTGTTTGGTGAAGGGATGGCACGCTCCTACGACCTAAAGATTGCCTTGCCAAATCCGGTTCCGGTAGGACATTAGACGGCTCCGTCTCATCCTCCTCCCTGGAATGAGGTGGGAGGAAGAGTTCTGTCTCCGTCGAAAGAGCCTCGGTGTTGTTTGATTGGGGCGTTGTAGTTTTCTGGTCTTCGGGGTTGTTTTCTGCTGCTGGCAACAATTGAAAGAAAAGTTATCCCTTCAGATGGAAATCTGACTTTGATTTCATTTCTTGCTTCATGACACCAACCCCACGGTTCAGTTGGTTTTGTCTCCAAACCAGGGGTGGGATTCCACCAGTTTGGATCGGTTCTACAGAACCGGCTGTTATGATTCTGCGCAGTTTGGAGAACCGGCAAATTGTGCCCCTGGATGGCCCCTCCCCTCTCCGTCTGCCCCTCCCCTTCCTGCCCAGTCAGTCATTATCGCGCATGCACGACATCACTTGCATGCCCAACCTTGCCGACTCCATTCTCCCCCACCCAGTCATTCCTTAAGGCAGTGGTCCCCAACCTTTTTTGTGCCAGGGACCAGTTTCAAGCACAAACACTTTTTCAAGGGGGGGGGGGGGGGAGAAACCGAGTTTGGTGGTTTGCTTGCAGACGTTTCATTACCTGACTAGGTAACATCTGATGTTGTTACCTAGTCGGGTAATAAAACGTCTGCCAGCAAACCACCAAGTTCAGGGAGCGCCTCGGCCCTGCCTCCCTCAGCCCCATCCCTCAGGTGTCTCCCTCCCTCCCTCAGGTGTCTGCCTCGTTCCTCTCTCAGTCGCTCTCTCGCTGCTCCACCAGCCCAGGAAGAAACTGCTTCAAAGAAGCCGGGTGGTGGTGGTGGTGGTGGCTTTTCCTGTCGCCGCAGCTCCTCCGAAGCGCCCGTTTACCCCCACCCCGCCCGCCCGCGGTTCAATCCACAGTGCTCCGTTCGGGGTGGGGGTAAACGGGCGCTTCGGAGGCGCTGCAGCGACAGGAAAAGCCACCACCCCCCCGGCTTCTTTGAAGCAGTTTCTTCCTGGGCTGGTGGAGGAGCGAGAGAGCGACTGAGAGAGGAACGAGGCGGGAGGAAACTGAAGCCGCTGAGCCAGAGAGCAGGACAGGCTTTGGTTGCTTCCTCCCTCCCCTTCTCTCATTTGTGTCCTTGATCCCTGATCCCAGCAGCATTCACTGAAGGCGAAGAAAGCCGCCATTGGTGGTTTGAGGTGGTTGAGGACCCCTGCCTTAAGGTATTTCTATTTCCCCCCCCCTCCCGACCATCAGCTGTTCTGATGATTAGCTGCACCGGGATCCCCCTCGCTGTCTTACTGCTTCGCCCCGGATTCTTCCCTGAGACCCCCAAAAACCGGGGGGGGGGGGGGGGGGGGG